GATCTCCCTTTTCGAATCATTTCTCCTTTAGACAAACAGACAAACGAGATGAACTTAAGACGAGGATTTAAAGAAGAGGACTTATGGCAGATAGTAATATGTTTATGCTTACTCAAACACGGGATGGAATCGAACGAGAAATGTCAGCTGAAGAGAAAAGATAAAGGAGAAAGAAAAGAGAAAGAAAGGAGAATATTGCAGAAACGGTGGATTATAAAAAAAAAACGATAAGCTTAAGCAGAGGAGCAGAAGTCTTGGAGGGGAGAGGCCGTGGTGGAAACGGCAGCTACCACTTGATGTTGACGCATAATGGGGCTTAATGAAGCCCTGATCAGACCCTTTATCCAGGGTGTTGAAGTGGCTGATTGGATGGCGCAGGGGAGTTGGGGCGGCCAGAAGGGGGAGGGACCAGTTGTCTGCGAAGAGAGGAAGAGGAAAGAGCGGTGGAAGAGGAACAGCGAAGCAAACGGTGAAAGGTGGTTAATCATTTTTAAGCAAGAGCATAAATGAACATAAAGTGAGAGAATGCATGAACTCGACGCTCCTAGCAAGAGCACTGAGGTTTCAATGATGACAGGCTAGGAGGCTGGAGGGGGGGGGCGATAAGGCTGGGTGGCCGGGCTTGATGATAGCAACGATAAGACTTAGTCATCGCTTTGGGTTGCATGTTAAAGGGACGCAGAGGCTGGGACAGCCCTCTCTCTCGCTCTCGCTCTCGCTCTCCCTCTCCCTCTCGCTCTCCTTCTCTCTCTCTCCCTCCTCTCTCTCTCTCTCTCTCTCTCTCTCTCTCTCTCTCTCTCTCTCTCTCTCTCTCTCTCTCTCTCTCTCTCTCTCTCTCTCTCTCTCTCTTGCTCTCTCACTCTCCTTCTCTCTCTTGCTCTCTCGCTCTCCTTCTCTCTCTCGCTCTCCCTCTCCCTTTCTCTCGCTCTCCCTCTCCCTCTCCCTCTCCCTCTCCCTATCCCTATCCCACTCCCTCACTCCCACTCTCTCTCCTTCTCCCACTCCCTCTCCCTCTCCCTCTCCCTATCCCTATCCCTATCCCTATCCCACTCCCTCACTCTCCCTCTCTCTCGCTCTCCTCTCTCTCTCTCTCCCTCTCCCTCTCCCTCCCTCTCCCTCCCTCTCTCTCGCTCTCCTCTCTCTCTCTCTCTCTCTCTCTCTCTCTCGCTCTCCCTCTCCCTCCCTCTCTCTCGCTCTCCCTCTCCCTCTCCCTCTCCCTCTCCCTTTCTCTCGCTCTCCCTTTATCTCCCTCTCCCTCTCCCCCCTCTTCCTCTCCCCTCTCCCCTCTCTCCCTCTTCCCCCTCTCCCTTTCCCTCTCCCTCTCCCTCACCCTCTCCCCCCTCTCCCTCTCCCCCTATCTGTCTCCCCCTTTTCCCTCCCTTCCTATCACTCTCCCTCTCCCTCTCTCTCTGCCTCTCCCTCTCCCCCCCTCTCCCTCTCCTCCTCTCCCTCCTCCCTCTTTTTCTCTTTCTCTCACCTGTCCCTCTCTCCTTCTGTCCATCTCTCCCTTCCTCCCCCTCTCCCCCTATGCCCACTTCTCCCCTGGTGCGCCCTGTACCCTCCCCTCCCGCCCCTCCCGCCCCTCCCTTGCTTCTCTTTCCCGCCCTCGGCCTCCGCCTCCCTCGCCCTTCCCTCCACCCTCACCCCTTTGGCTTCCGCATTACCTGCGTCGTCGGAGGCTAAACAAGTAAACATCTTGAGACTCTCCCTCTTTCAGTCCTCTCTTGTTCGCCTTCCCATTTTTGGTCCATCCTCGTTATTTTGATTATGATCGCTCACTCCTACTCCTGTTTTCCCCTCTCACAAAGAAACTCGCGTTACCTGTCCGCATCCATTAGCTTGAGTGTAATGTGTCAAGTGTGTGCGAAGGCTGGCGACAATGCAGAGAATTCCTGTTATCAACCGCCTCGTTTGTGTAATAGAAAAAATCCTGATTCCTCATCTGACTCATTCATATGGTTCATAGTGCTTGAATTTTAGGAATAACGACGAAATGTTTGCTCGTGTTGTGTTGGAAATCCGAGGCGCATTCCGATCTCGGAGGCTTGCTTGTTTTTCTTTTTTGTTGACCAGAGAACCTGTGATTCATAAATTAATTTCGGAGTTTTGGAATCAAACAAAGGCGTATTTACCATCTCGCAATGACGTCACGGCGTCGAGGAACAGAAAAAGTTCCTAACCTGCCCCCCCTCCCCCGTCCTTGTTCCTCTGCCTCCGCCGAAAGTTTACTTTGTTTCTACGTAGGCAGTCTTCACGGCCTTCCTTTCTTACCGTTTTGCCGATTCCCCTTTTTAATTTCTTCTTTGCCTTCTTAATTTCTATGTGCCTCCAACCTGTCTGCCCCCTCCCCTCCCTTCCCTCTTTCAGTACGTGGCCTTGTAAACAAGCTTTCCCGTGGCCACTTCGACCGCCTTTGCCTCGGTCGCTCCTTTGGATACGAACGCCCGAAACAAAGGACTCCTCTCGGGGAAGGAAGCTCGCTGGCGGCGGGGCAGGGCCGTGCGTGCGTACATGTGTGTATTTGCTTGTGTATGTATATGGATGTGTGTGTGTGTGTGTGTGTGTTTGTGTGTATGCACATGTATATATGTACATATGTTTGTGCGTGCGTGCGCACATGAAAATGTGTACATTACCTTAGATTCCTTCAGACAGGGTTTCGGTTTCCATTGTCTCAAGAGGGGAAAGAGACGGCAATGAAGGTAGAGTTGCCTTTTCCGTCTCGGCGAATGGTCGTGTGACGGATGCAGACATATTAGCGAACAGGGGCCGGGAGGAGGAGGTGAAGGGAAAGACAAACAAACAGGAGAGACGCGAACAATTTCGTGAGGAGGAGCGTAAGACAGCGAGCCATGAGGAACGTGGTGCGTGAGGGGAGCGTGGACGGGGCAGCCGAGGCTCAAGGTGCAGCAGAATGTGGCGTTGGTGGTGGCAGGAGGTACCCTCGCTTCCTTCCCCCCCCTCCCCGCCCCACAGCAACCACAGCGGTGCTAGTCATCACTAGGACAGGAAACTTAGAGTTCATTTTTCTCGCCATGTCTTTAACACTATTTTCTCTGTTTCGCGGGCCTATCTACATTTTGATAAAGTAAAGGATATTCTCCCCGATAACTTTACGAGGTGCCGCAGGGCATTCGAGGGTCGGGATAGATGTGCAGGAATATTTGAATAAAGAATAAGTAGCTAGTGAGTCCTGGAGACTAGCTCAGCTACCACCCCTCCCTGCCTGCGCTGGTCCTCCCCTCCCTCCCTTTCCTCTGGTTCTCCCCTCGTACCCGCTCTCTCCCCCTCATCTTTACCCTCACTCCCGAATCCCCCCAAGCGAGTCCTGCCTTCCCCCTATACCCCTCCCCCCTTCGCCACCCCTCCGTGACCCGTGTCGTGCCTAGCGGCTTTGTCTCCTCGTCTCCCATTGGTTACATAGGATCTGAGCCCAGCAGGGATTGGCTGAAGGGGGCGTGTTAATCAATGATCAGGTGTCCGGGGCGCATCATGGCCGCCGAGGGTTAGTGTGTACTGAAGAGTGGTCGTGGACGGGTCGCTGACGGCCACATCATCCCAGTAACCTGCCCGGAGGGACCGATACGTGACCACTCAACACTTCGGTGTCTTTTTTGCTCCCCAGCCTCTTCCTTAAGAGACAGAAGAGCGCGAGACTCGGTGTGGCTTCGAGTTTGTTCCTTACCATTATCTTTTAGAGGCTCGGCCTTTCCCCTCTTTTGTGGGCAAAGTCAAGGACACAAGAAGAGTATCTGTCCGTGCGACGAAGCGGGAAGGGAAGATTGTACACACAAGTGAGGGGAATCGAAGACAGCTATGGTGATAGAGACGATTATCTCCACAGGTCCATGGGGCAAGTGTCGTTAGTGGTGACGGTTCTGTAGAGCGCCTGAGTCTCCTCAAAGGCACCAACGGCTAGGAGCCAGTAAGAAGGATTTGCCAGCAGAGCGGTGTAGCGTGACTCCGGTGGTGTGGTGGTAGCGGTGCGTCCAACCTGGTTCTGCTCCTCCTCCTCCTCCTCCTCCACCACCACCTCCTCCTCCTCCTCCTCCTCCTCCTGCTTCCCCTGGTGGTTGCGGCGGCGGGAAACCTGTTGGGCGAGGGTCTCAGCTTACACTTGTGAGGACACGGCAGGCCTCCCTCCTTCTCTTCCTCCAACCATCGCTCAGCTGGCCCCGAACGAGACACAGGGAGGAACAAATAGAGAAGAAAAGAAACGAGCGAGTGAGAAAGCCTCGGGGACACGCGAGGGAGGGGAAACCAAGAAACAACCTTGTGGCTCCATCCTTCCTTGCGCTGGCCTGGCCAACAATTTCCTCTCAGAGGCGCAGCTGAGGCGAGGCAGCGGGACACTTTGAAGGCCAGAAGGGGCGAAACGAGTCCAGACCCTCCGAGGGCCAGTGACAGTGGAGGCACCGACGGTCCTGCCACCACGCGGCAACCGCTGCCGCGCTAACAGGTGGTTGCGGCCCAGAGGTTCGAGCGCTACGGCGATGACGGCGGCCGAGGCCATGACGGAGCTCTGAGACCAGTCCCGCCGCGACCGCTGGGGAGACACAGCGAGACCGACTGAAAGAAAGAGAGCGATAAAAAGGAAAAAAAAAATGTGAGAAGAAATACCGCTAATCTCGAGACACGAAGGAAAAGGAGGGATATACATCCATGTAAATAAGGTAGTTAAAGCAGTGGAACAGAAAGTGTGACAAAAAAAGAACGAAAAAAGGAAGAGATTTAAAAGGAACACGTAGTTTCCGAAATAAAAGAAAATCCGAATTGTTTATATATAAATTTTGTGATAAGTGAAAGAGACGTTGCCTTCAAGATGGTGTCTGTGTTACCATCCATGGATCACACGTTCTCCAGCATGGTAGACCTCAAAGAACAGTCAGTGCTGGACCATCAG